TACGACGTTTACCAGTATCTAGGCAGTAGCGTTAGGCTGTTAAAAAAAAAAAAAAACCATTATAAAAATACAACTGCTGATTTATAATGCATGGCAACGTAACTCAATACGCTTTGCAACATGCTATCATTAAAAGTACAACATTTAAAAGCCGTTCCAAACAGAGTTGAAGAGATTTAAAAGTGGAGTAAAGAAATGCAAAATAGCTTTCTAAAATGACAAAAAGCACGTAAGGTTGCAAGCACAAGATATCTTTGAAAACATGACTGTAAAAATACTTTGAAAGACCTTAATCATAGGTATGGGAAAAGAGCAGAGTTGTGAACCTGGATTTTAAACCATTTACACTTCATTGATACGGTATGTTTTGAATCTTTCTTCATTCATATTATTCACTCAGATTAAAAAAAAAAAAAAAGAATACCAGCAAAATGGGAAACGTATTATTGACAAGTACAGAGAAAAAAAACATCTTTTTATGGGTGACCTTAGCAGGGCATATTACACACAGATGAGTTTTATTCAACGAGACTTAACAATAAAATTTGTCTAGACCGTCATAAACCAAAGACCCCCTGTAGTCAGGTTTTACTATTTCCAACATTACCAACTTCTCCTTCTAGAGGGGAACTGGCACTCCCTCAGTGGTTAGACACACATTAGCACTCTGCACCGTGTTTAAACACACTTAGAAGCCCCCCAAAATGTGATCTAGTGGGAGTGTTTGGAAGCATTTCGCCTGCTCAGTGAATCAGGCACTCTTCTGTCTTGCCTCCCTCACAGCCTGGCTGACTGGCTGGCTGGAGAGAGGCCCCAGGAGGGACAACAGAAGGAAAGCAAGCGCACACATAAACACGCGCACTTCCAAGTTTCAAACAGTTGCAGATGGCTTTAATTCCTTGCCCTCTTTTCCTGCACCATTTATCAGGTAACCTGCTCGGAACAAGCGTGCAGCCTCTCCGTGATTTAACGGCGGCTTTAGCTAGAAATGAAAGGACAAAAATAAGCAACACCCCCCCCCCCCCCCCCCCCGAAAAAAAGCGCTCATTAACGTTACAGTCATTAAATCGATTATCCAACGGGAAAACATACACCACGTTGTGATGGCGGTAGGGGCCCCCCCCCCCCCCCACCACCCACCCCGCTCCCCTTCCCTCAAAAAAAGCTGTTTACTCTCTCCAAGATGCAGGGATTGGACACCTGCAATCCAGCGCAACACCGCTGCAACACAAAACCTGAAAACAGTTGCGCTTGTTGTTCCTTGGTTTGACACGCTGCCAGAAAATGTGTTTTATCGAGGACGGCGTGTTCTAATCGCACGCCAAGGTTCTTTCTGACCCCGTTAAGACGTCCTCGAAGAGGAATTAAGAGATGGGCGCTGGGCGCTGGTCTCCCCCCCCCCCCTCCGGTCGGGGGC